GACAAGTGCGTGTAAAGTACTGGTCGGTTGTGTGGATTGCCCCGATGTTCCGGTGTTCGGTCCGAGATTTGTTGTTCCGTATTGGACCGGTTGCACAACACGAATTAGTGGATTCGGATGTGGGCCACTAACAACCTTGATTGTGGGCACGCCAGCTAGTCGTGGAGCAATCACCCGATGCGGTGTGGTTGGATTAGTGCTGCTTGTTATTAGGATCGGAGTGGCCTGATGTTGCTGCGATTGTGCTCGATGGACTAGCTGCGTTTGGGATTGTGGCGGTTGCGACTGTACCTGTGGTTGTGACTGTCGTGGTGGCTCAGACAGCAGATGCGTGGAAGCATTCGAATGAGCCACATGAGTTTCATCAGGCATATCAACCAGTTGAGAGTTAGACTGAAGTGTATAGCTGTTTGGTGGAGCAAAGCTGCTACTGGTGGTTGTGGTAGACGAATAACTGCTCGAGAAACCAGACTGGATACTTGATGATACTGATGATGTCATATCGTTGCCATGGATGCTCATTCGAGCGGAAGGATTGAAACCGCTGGGGAGAGGGTAAACGAAACATATGAGAACACGGATGCGATTTTTTGCCATCCACAAGGAATGACCTTAAAGCATTGCATATTACTCTAGAGTGTGATGAGTTTCATTCAGGCTACGTCAATTGATTTTAGGAATATACCAAGCCTGTGCGCTGTGCGACAGTTGATCAAAATGTTAACGTTCTATGTATGAAAAAACGGTGGAGATACAAGGAAAACAAGTGGGAAAAACTGATGACCTTAAAAGCGTTTCGTCCGTCATTTTGCTAGACGAGTATATAAAATTCATAGAAAAATTAGGCAGAAATGACAGATAATACCTAAAACATCAAAAAAGGACCACAAACCTGATCTTAATAACGGCAGGCGGTGGGAGATTGCTTTCACTATTCCCTGGTTCTACCCGTTCATCTGCTGATTCCAAGATTCTAAGATCTTCAGAAAACATGCTTACGATCGACAGATGATTTCTGAAGACTCACTTTTCTGAACCATTTCGAAATATTCAATGCAGAAACATCGAGTATATGTATTGCCCTATCACCTCCTTCCCCCCTGTCTTGGCCTTCTCCATGTAACTATATACCAGCACCACGTTACAAGCAACCTTCACTCCTCGTTTGTTTTTGTTTCTGAGGTTTTATCTTACCCATTTTCCGTGAATCGGTGCTGGTTTGTCTGTGCGAGATCGCATATATGAAGTGGCGCCTGCTCACCTGATACTTAGTCACATTGTGCTAGATTGGTGTGATTAATTGCTTTTCGCCGGACATGTTATTTCAGAGTGTGATATGTGCACACACACAAACACTTTGGTTCGTACGGTCAAGTTTGATCGTGGTTGATTGCTGTGAATTGATTTGTTTCGATTCGAATTTTATTTAAATTGTTGGCATGCTAAAAAACGTGAACTACTAAAAAAGAAGACGGTTAGAGCATGAGCAGCATATTCCGTTCAACCAAGTCTTGACGCTCACCCGAATTCCACATGTCGAAATCGATAATCTGACTGTTGTATGGAAACATGTACGGCAGATTCGAGATAGAGAAGGCAAGTGATTATATTTGCGTGCGAGTATGAAATACCTGAAATCCAATTTTTAACACACTTTCGTGTGATGAACAGCAGATGGGGCGAACCCCATAGCCATGAGAACCTGCTGTTCAATGATGGTAACCGGTGACCTGATTCCCGGGGCTTGGAGTGGCGAACCACAAAAGGCCCTGATAGGTCAGGTGTGGTATGGAACCGGAAGACAGCAAAGCTGCCTACCACCAAAGTTGGGTGGCGATGGCGGGGCTCGAAACTCGGACCATAGGGTCCAAAGCACGCCAGTGATAGCGACTAAACCACTGCGCCATCACAACATTGTGAACTGCGCTTGGGACAAATCAGATACACCTAATAATACATAGCCCATTACCACAACCAACAATATTATTCCATTTGCCTGTCTTCCCGTTGTCGAAGATTAAAATTCAATGCCTTGAAAGAAGACGTCAAAAGAAAGACTACGGAGTAGGAATGACGAAGTGTCAACGTACCGGAAGTCCCTGGAGATACCAAGTTTGTAGAATCCAGTACCAGGGTCCTGTAACATCATATCGTCATCGTCATCTTCGTCATCATCTTCCTCATCTTCGTCGGCGCCCGGTGCGGCTACTCCCGGGGTCACCTTTGCATTAGGTAATCCAATCGTGGCGGACAGCAATGGATGACGCACCATAAAATTACCCGCATTGGACGCAGGGGTCAAACCAAAAGGCTTCTGCGACACCGCCTGAGAAGCACCGGTCGGTAGACGATGATCGCCTATCGCCGCGGTATCAGACAGACAGTGGTGATTTTTGTCGATGTTCATATCCGCCACTGCTTTCTCATGATTTAATCCGGTATCATTCTCACCGGCGTGAGGCATTAAAACGTCAGCCGTAGTCGGAGGTGGAACAGCGTTCCATGTAGTCGATGTGTTGTGTCGACGCGCCTCCATTTGAGCCTGGCGTTCGGATTGTCGAGCCAGTTTGGCCGCCTCTCGAGCGGCTCGTTGCTCTTTCAAACGTTCTTCTTTCTCTAGTTTTTTCATCTCCCGTTCTTTTTCCATTTGTTCTGTACAAAAAATTAAGGATGGTCAATAAAATAGTTACACATTAACAAGCATTAGATAGGCATATGCTAAATAAAATGTAAGTACAAAACTAAGTCACAGTACACCTACTCCAATAATAATTAAGGAGCAGTGTGCCAGCCAAACGAGCATCGTTAATTCAATGTTGTCTGATGGGCATTTGGATAGTTGCGTGATATGCATTCAGGAGACTAGCTCACATAGATCGCATTGGGCTTCCCGGTCGGGGATCGTTGTGATTAATGGTTTGAAACACTAAGTGAATGTCATAAACAGTGGCGCTTATGCATCTGCTCGGTGTCCTTGCAACCTTATTCTACCAGAATTCCCTTTTTCACCTTGATACTACTTTCAACATTTCAATCTTCGCTTTACTCCATCACAAATGGACAACGAAGAGCACCACATGATACGGTAAGGTCGTAGATTGCACAAACTGAACTGAACTTAATGCACTACACACAAATGCAAGTCGACAAAATGCATTTTCACGCAATGATCATCACGGATAAGGACGACTTGAAGATTAAAAAAATCAAATATGGAGGTATGAGAGACGTGTGCATCATTCTAACCTTTGCGTAATTGTTTTGCTTTCGGTCCAAAGGCCGGAAGCTGATCGAAATCGAGCAGCTTAATTCCGGAAGCTTTTCGGCAGTTAGCGGCGGCCGAAGTCCGTGCAGCAAGTCGCTCCGCGAGGGGGATAGGACGGCTATCGCTTGTACGTTCCGGGAGATCAGCACCTGTACGGGACCAGGATGAAGGATGTGGCGTAGATGATGCCGGTGGTTTTCGTACTGATGAATCTGAAGAGCGATTCCATGTTTGCGGTATGGCTGTTTTACGATTCGTTGTGAGAAGGGAATCTCGGCGATGGATTGTTGAACTACCCATGAAACCACTACCGTCCGAATGAGCTGCATCGTCGGTTTCGTCCTGACGCGCAAAGCTTCGGCCAGGGATCGGTACATGCACACGCTTACGCTGACATTCATCTTTGAGTTTTTCCAAGTACGCTTCCTTTACTGTCACCGATTCCGGCTTTCCACGAGGTCGAAACCCCAATACGCGTGTCGTTCGTTTTCGATACGTGGAAGAGGGATGTGGCCGTTTGATGCTTGTTTGGTCCCGTTTCGGTGAAACATCATGGGTCACCGAGTTCAGAACATTCTCACCCAAGTATTCGGCCAAGAGTGGAGTTTGAACAACACACCATCGATCGGATACTTTCAGGAGTCGCTCTAGATTTTTCTTGAATGCCTCATTTGTGGGAGATATATCAAAGTTCAGATAGCCAAGTGTCTGTTTCGTATGAAGAATAGTTGCGACAGCTTTGACCAAATTGTTCTCTTCATCAAGCGCTTGTAGAAATATGCTTTCTACATGTTTGTTCACCTGAGAAAGAAGACGGCATGAATGCTAATATTAGGAAGCTGAGATCAGTTAATTTCCAGATTATCTTGGACCACGAATTAGTATTGTAAATCGTAACTTCTAATGAAAATAACTGAATGAATAAGCAAAATAAAGTAGACGAGAAAATGAGAAGTGACCAAATAATTAAAAACAATTATCGAATTTTCGAGAAACTACTTGGAATTTGATTAACTTTGATAAGGAAAAAAGATAACCACGAATGAAATACTTTCTTCTGATAGCTTTCCTATTAAATTTCCCGACACAGATATGTTCCCCCTGGAGTATGACGAAAATTCTTTCGAAAAAGAAACGACTGACACAATCATTACGTATTATCTGACTATATTACAATCGACTGCAGCCCGGACTCCATTAGGTCAGGCACCAACGTAGGTCTATGTGATTTAAAAGAGCCACGAAAGATAGGTGTTACCTCATTGGTTCCAGACTCATCGTCCACATCGTAATGCAAAATAAAGTGAAGCGCACTTCACCGCTCGCTGCCAAACTCGCAATGCATACAAGGTCAGTGGTAACATGCAAGGTAGACAGGGATTGGACCGATGCTGAAGGAGGGGAAGAAGTTGTACCTCTATGGTCAACACAGAGTACACAATCGAAGTGTGCATAGATACGTTTTTAAGCATTCTGATCTGATAAGAAACGACAACAAGAACACCACTGCTGTCGGTACACTGCAATGAGCTTCAATATCTACAACCAACCAGTTGCAGTCTTTCGAATCCCAACCTGGAAGGCTTGAGACGCCTATTTTACCTAAGCACTCTGTGCATTTCTTCATGCCTGTTCTCCATGTCATCGGTTAACCTTCACGTGGTTTCCTCCAACGTGGAGTTAAAACTGCGAAGAAAGCGCAGTGCAGTAGAAGACAACTGGGGATGAACAATACGCGACCTAATAGACTAATCTTGTTAGTCAGAATTCGATCTCTCTTCGGTTCCCGTCGACACTGCTCCAGGAGCGACAACAGACGATAGTCTGCTTAGCGCCTAGACAGTTGAACTGTTCGTTAAAGTACTCCGCCCAACGATCAAGTCACTAATCCCTATTATGAACAGCTTGTCCTCCTTCAGAGCAGACCGTTTCACTAACTGGAGTTCGCCGACTTTCTGCATTGCGTAGAAGTTGGAACGGTCTTTCGCTATTACCTGATGCAGCTGCCACTTCTTTTTCATTTGTTGTTGTTACCCAACAGTTCGCACGGTCCTTCTTGAAGCTCTTGGTGAGCTGACGTTGCATACACCACTTAGCCTTGACGCGATCCTGGTGGGTCAGGATTTATCTTTTTTTCTGCATTAGGGCTACTGACTCCTGAGATACCCAGTACATCCGATGTGTTTGAGGATCAAACCTACAAGCAACATTCGCTGCGGAATGCATTGCTCGTCTAGTCTGATCCCACTGCTCATCTACATCGTCACGTTGGGACGCGCTTAGCTCACGCACTAGCTGACTCATAGTGCACGAACTGCTGGAACAGATAGTCGATAATGAGCTATACGAGTTTGTTGGTTTTGTCCGCGGCCAGTCAGTCGGAGTGAACTGTATCAAAACTAATGCGTGGTTAATAGGATCTG